ACAACTGACAACTCATGGGTGTGCGCAACTGATTCCACCTTAAAGTCTGTTGGTTCAGAAAATATATAAGTAGTGAAAAAAGTAAGGAAAGTAAAAGAGAAAAGGAAATCTCAGTAAGCATCAGTAAGCAAGCAAGCAAAGAGCAGGAAGCAGGTAAAGGAAGTAAGTAAGTATGCAAGTAAGCCCAAAGCAAGCAAGCAAGAGAAAAGCAGAATCAGTGAGCAATTAGCAGTGGCATTAGCATTAAGCAGACAAAGAGAGGGCATAAGCGTAAGCAACAGCAATAAGCAGTAAACAAGCAAAAAGAAGGCATCAGTGGAAGAAAGCCCAGAAAAAATTATGCATGACAACCACCTTTTTGTCCTCATATAGATCACCTACATGTCAGAGGCTGCCTTTAATCTTAACACATTCCTGGCAGGTTTTTAAAAGAAATTTATTCTCTCTGATTATGGCACAGGTCACTCTGGATAAACCTTCTCCTGTGAAGTCTGTGTTTGGAAACATTTTCCTAGAAAGATAATATCTGTTTGGCCCATGATTGAGCAGGGAAATGTGAGAGAAAGGCAGACATGCTGCTTTCATTGAGAGAAAGCCAACAGCATCCGGTTTTACAATGTCAAAACATTTTTAAAACTAAGAATTGAAAACCCTCTGGTTTCTGAGCTAGCTGCTCAGGAACTTGTGCAGCCTAATTTTGTTTAGACTCTTCCAATTCACCCTGGCTTGCATGACTATAAGAATGTTATGTGAATACTGCTAGCCTGTTGGGCCATGCTATGCTCGAGACCAATATAAATATAATGGTTAGCTATTTGTGTCTGACATTTTTCCAGCATGATTCAGCACCAGGATGATTTTTGGCGTCAACATAGTTCAGTTGGCTTTAAGCATTGTAATGCATGCAGTGCAAGACCCGACCACGAGTCAGGCTCTGTGCGACATAATACGGGAAGTTGAACATTGGTACTAGTTATGACGGAAGCAAGACCGGGAGTAGATAACTTAAGAAAAGTGCCGCAACGAAGCACGTGATTTCAAGTTAACAACATCAAATCAAGGACGAAAGGAAATGTTCGACATTTGGAGATAGTGAAGTAAACATCAGGCTGGATGAAGGAAGCTTACTTATAATTATTGATGCGCGTAGGTGGAAAAGATCATCCTAGACAACACAGTTCCTTTATTTAGTGAATATGCTTCTCCTATGTCATTGGTGGATTTTCATAGAACATTTTGGATAACGTTGTGGTGTCTTCAAAATAGCGTGTGAAATTGCTGACCTAGCACTCTCGTGTAGTAGCCGCCGGGACACGGCAGTGACGGTGCGGAAAAAACTCGCTGAGCCAAATGTCGTGATTTGCCCGTGTTTTGAGCCTTTTCTTGTGGTGTTTCATCGATATTTACCCATGAGTTTAAGATGTTTCTTGAGTCGCACACTCAGGTGGGCGCAAAATGACCATTGAAATCGACACGACCCCAAAACACCAAGAACAACACACCCGGGTATGGCGCTTTAATCGAAGAAAATCATCAAATATGATGAAATAAACTTACTTATGGCTATTGGTGGTACTTTAAGTGGAAAAGGCCGTTCTGGAAAACACAATTTCTCTGTCTAGTAAAACATGCTCCTCAATGCGTTATTGTTGATTACATCATTGTACCTTGCACAACATTTATTGAGAGCTAAGCGCCGGCCGTTTTGTCCGGAAATTGTGCTCACGAACACCAGATATGAATGAATCGAGTGTATTCGTCCCGGCCTTGATCGCCGTATCGTTAATGGAGTGGCATGATTTATATGACGTTCTTATGGCGTCATGGCAGCCTGGGTGACCTTGAAATAATCTTCCCGAAGGAGTCTTCAGGCTCGCGGGGCGTGTGGTTCAGAAAATAGGGCGGCTTAGATCTCAGGGAGGGCATGGCTGTGAATTGCAATCGTACGACCTTCAAGATAGCGATTTCAGGTCAAAAACCCCCACACAAATGTGGAACACTCCTTTTAAAGGGAGCTAAAGGAACAAACTGGGAGGGATAAAGTCTCGGTTGGGACCATGGACGGCCAGCTGCCGTAAGGTGAAGCGGGATGAAGGTAGCGCTATGCCGCCTGAGAATAGCACATACAGACGCGACTCACAGGTGCTTGTTATGTTGGGAAGGCCGACCACGATGTCTTTGTTGTGGGGAACGTTACGGCGACGGCCGTACTGCATGCGTTGATGGGTTGTACCCACCTCGCTTTGGGAACACATACGTCATTTCGGGCCAGGGTCCGTGCGTCAACGCGCTCAGGTGTCATTGTAGATGACTCGAGTTTGGTAAAGGACGGTCATGTTTTGAGTTTAAATTGAAGCACACTTTATAAATCGGAACCCCCTCCCCACCTTCTAAATTGGGTAGACTCATGCTCGTGAATAGTAGTTTATAGCATTTCATTTGATTTCAGTGATGCCACGTCGTAACATGTTTCCACTTTCCGTGGGATGAATTCCGTTTGAATTCTGTTTCATGGCCTTGCTTGCTAACCACATTCACTCTGTGAATAGTAACCAGTACACAATCCTGAGTTCTGCCCACATTCGATCCGGGACCGTTTGGCAGATGTGCCGATCGCACAGCAGCGCGGCTGGTCATAGCGGCGGCGTCCTGCTGTTACAGCGGCGCCAGTCGGCCGGGCAGCTAGCAGCCTCACCGCTGCTGGTCCAGGTCCCAGCACAGCGGCTGGACGCTCTGATTGGCCAGCTGTCCAGCCTGCGCGAAACCAGCTGGGCGCGCTGGCGAGGCGCTCCTGAGCCGGACACGGCCGCTCGTCGGCCGACCCCACATGGGCCGGCTGCTCCGGGGTCATCTGGGTCAGCCGCCCCTGGCGTCTGGGCCAGCCACACCCTCAGCCCGGCCGCCTCCGCGTCAGCCTGCCTGGAGTCCGTACGCTCCTGAGTTGGCCATCCTTCCGTTCCTGGGTGAGCCGTGGTCTAGCCAGCCGCTTCAGAGCCAGCTGAGGCGACCACTCCAGAGCCAGCTGAGGTGACCCGCTCCTGAGCCAGCTGAGGTGCCCCCAGCCCGCGTCTGAGCCGGCCCGCTCCAGAGCCAGCTGAGGTGGACCAGCTCCTGAGCCAGCTGAGGTGACCGCTCCTGAGCCAGCTGAGGTGACCGCTCCTGGAGCCAGCTGAGGTGACCGCTCCTGAGCCAGCTGAGGTCATCGCCCCTGAGCCAGCTGAGGTCATCGCCCCTGAGCCAGCTGGGGTGGCCGTTCCTGAGCCAGCTGAGGTGACCCTCCAGCCTGCGTCTGAGCCGGCCGCTCCCAGGGTCGCCGGTGCCCATGTCGGGCCACCACCGGAAGCGCGGCCGCTGGGCGGCGGCGGCGGCGGCGGCGGCCGAGCCGGACCACGTGCGCCGCCAGGTGGAGGCGCTGTTTAGCCGCCGGTTCGACTTCTGCGCGGCCGAGCACGACTGGAGGCTGCCGGAGCCGGAGCACATGTTCCCTGATGACGAGTGGCAGGGTGAGGCGCCCTCTCCAGGCGCGGAGGACGCCGGCGGCACGTCGTGGCAGAGAGTCAGAGGTGCTGCAACCACGCGGCCTGAACTGCCGCCAGAGCGTGGCTACCTGTACCTCAGTGAGCAGGCCCTGTATTAGAGAAACGAAGTGTGTAAATGCAGATGTATTTGTGTTTCGAAAGAGGGCTTTTATTTTACGGCGATTTACAGTCCCGAGGATAGCTTGGCTTTTGTGGGTGGTTCAGCCATCTCTCTGCCCGGTTATGTATCACCTCTCACCAGTTCCTGATTTTCACCTCCAGGTGGCAGAGCTGCAGACTATGAAGCACGAGCTGAACGCCGTCAAGGCGCTGCTTAGTGACAAGGACATCTCCACCTGGCACGAGCACACATCGGCCACAAACCGGGCTGGCCTGGTGGTGCCCACAGTCAAGCGTCACATTCGGCCCGAGATGGGCACACAGGTGCGTCGCTGGGCCTCGGCTCGACCTGAGGCCGGCTCGGCTCTGCTCGAGGCCGGCCCGGCCCGGCTCCAGGCCGGCCCGGCCCGGCTCGAGGCCAGCCCGGCCCGGCTCTAGACTGGCTCGGCTCGGCTCGGCTCCGCTCTGCTCGAGGCCGACCCGGCCCTGCTCGGCTCGGCCCGGGGTGGCGGCCATGGGACGGTTGGCTAGAAGCGCGGTCAGGACGCGGTCGGGTCCGCACTCCGAAAACGAAATGGTGACATTACGAGCTTGGGGATCACGGCCTGCAGACGTATGGGCTAGAATGGTTGTATTTTGCCTGATTCTGATTTGTAAATCACGAGCTGCAGCTGTCAGGGGTTTTAAGTCGTCTTTGGAACGTACGCCAGCGGAGCGCGTTTTAGAAGTGCGTAGGCCCACAAATGTTTTTGGGGGTAGATTCGGTCTGGCCCGCCGCGTGAAACGCCTGAAAGTGATCTATACTTATTGTTCCTTTTTGCGGCCAAGAAATGTACTAGGTTCTCAAAAAGGCTTGACAGTTTTTGCCATATGTTATTGAACGATCTCGTTTGTGTAGCATTGCGGCGCCAGTTTTACGTGTGTGCTCTGGCGGCCAGGCGTGGTGCAAGTTTTACGAGCTGCTGAGCCTGGGCTCTGTGCTGCCGCCGGCCTGTGCGGACGGCGGCCGGCTGGTGTCGCTGCATCTCTGCGAGGCTCCCGGCGCCTTCGTCACCGCTCTCAACCACTACTGCATCCTGAACGGTGTCGAGGAGGTCAGTACCGCCCCGTCGCTGCCGGGACCGCTGGTTGTCACGGCTTGTAAAGAGCGCTTGCGTGGTTTCTGTGTGCAGTTGGTTTGAGAGTGGTTGTCAGAAGGAGAATGCCGCATTGGTGTTCATATTTCATTCCATGACAGGTGTCATAAAATACGGTGCTTGGACTATCACATCCACATACGCAACAGAACGGCGAGGTATATGTTTTACACGGCGTTGTTTCCGTGCGCCGCGGAGACCACTCCGGCCCTGAAAAACATGAAACCGTGCCGACTCGAGAGCCCATCGGGGTCAGATCGGAAGGCGCCGGCGCGCGGCAGCGGCCGCTGCCGGATCAAGGCACAGGGTGTGGACGGCTGGTGTCGGCCGCCGCGCTTGGACGGCCGGCCGTCAGCGGTGCCGGGCGGCGTCGCCGCCGCCACTCGGCGCTAGTTGCTGTCGCGCTCGAAGAACATGTAGCCGATGAGGAAGGTGGCGCCGAAGAGCGTCGCCTTGGTGGCCGGGTCGAGGCCGTGCGGGAAGGTGACGCCGAACGTGGAGGCGTCGGTGAACACCTCCTTGGTCATGCCGCCCCACTGCTTGGTGATGGTGCCCACCTGGCGGCTGCCGTCGGCCGACATCACGGGGAAGTCGACGTCCGCGCAGCACTTGCAGACACAGCAGGGGCCGTGGATCTGCAGGCGCACCTGGCCGTCGGGACCGCGCACGCTGAAGCTCGGCTTCATCACCGACCACTCCTGCGTGACGGTGCCCATCGGCATACCGCCGGCGCTCACCTCCAGCTCCTGCAGACAGCAGAAGCAGCAGCAGCACTGGCACCTGCCGGCGGCGGGCGCGGCGTGTCAAGCGGGCGGGCGGCGCGGCGGACGCGCGGCCCTACGGCAGGCTAGGCGAGTGTGCTCGACACGGCGGCCGGTTTGGGTGTGGCAGCGGGTCTGGCTATGTCTGGTTGGTGTGCGTCCAGCAGCTGGGTGAAAGCGGCATGCTTGTTTTTACCTTTGCATAAACAAATTTGGTGGGATAAATTTCGCCCCGGTAAAAAATGTTCTTGAGCTGTGCACATTACGCTGCGTAGTGCTGTAAGAAATAAGCTCCATTGAATGTGGTATCGATGGAGATTGCGGTGCATTATGGTTGCATCAACGCGAGACCTGTGCCGTGAGTTATTACAATGAACAGAAAATCGCCTCTCCTGAGCATTTTTAGTTTGCTAGAACAGGTGAGGTACATAGTTCTACCTTTGCACGGCTTCTGCTGCCGGGTTTACTGTAAAAGAGCATTCTGTCCATGGTTTGCTTCCACTCGCTTACCTCGTTCGGTATCCCAGTGGTGTTGTCGTCTGCCCCCCCCCCCCCCCCCCCACACACACACGCTCCTTCTCTCTGACATCTCGCTCTCTCGCCTCCCATTCCACCACGCTGTCAGACTCTGCACACCTCCACATGCCCGCCACTGCATCAGCCCGGGGCGGCCGTGGTGCCGGCCGCCGCCAGCCGCTGTGCTGCTCGGCGGCGGTCCCTTCACGGCCTCCTGCTTACTTGAGCGGCCGGTCCATGGAGAGCACCTCCACCTGCGCGGCGTCCACGACGCTCATGCGGAACGGTCGGCCGCGGCCGCAGCAGCAGCGCGTGCAGCAGCCGCTCTGTTCGGCCGCGTAGTACACCGCCTGGCCGGTGGACGTCTTGATCACGTACTTGTTGGCCGTCTCAAAGCCGGTGAACGCCTCCAGCAGCTCCATCTGGCGGCGCAGAGCGGAGCGACTGCGGCTCTGACTTGGGGCGACGCTGACGCAAGGGCTCGGACGTGCGGTGGTTGTGCTGGGACGGCGGAGAGGGCGTGGCAAGGGTGTACGACGGGGCGGCTCTGGCTTGGGTCGTGCGACGCTGACGCAAGATTCTGACGCAGGGCTTCAGTATGGGGTAGTTGTGCTGGCATCTGAGAGAGGCCGAGAAGGAAGATGACAAGGCGACTTGGGCTCGGGGGCAAAAGACTCGCCGGTAGGATGTTGGCACTACGGTCCCGTCTGGCTTCCGGCGACTCAGAGAGCCTGGATGCCGGCCCACTCCAGCGCAGGACCTTTACAAACCCGGGCTACGACGGGGCTGGGCAACATCTGTCATTCAGTGCTATCACATACGCGCACTGTTTCCATTAGGTGGTTCACACCTGCCCGGTCGGTTCTGGACCGATGCCGCGGCGCACCCTCCGCCCGTTACCGGGGCTGCTCTGGTCACACAACCAAAGATGAGCACAAGGCTTCGTATGCCCTCGACCAGCAGCGGAGCGGTCCACCCAGGGACTGTGGCGCCATGTAGGCACGCGACGGGGTCACCGCGAAGCTGACCTTTTGTTGGACCACGAGCTGGTCGGCATAGGCCAGCGCCTCCAGACCTGAAATCGACATGTTTGGTGTTGTCACAGATGCAAGCAGCATGTGGCGTCATCAGCAGCATGTGATGCGGTTGTGACGTCACCAGCAGCATGTGACGCGATTCAACGCTTCGTGCGTTTGGGCTGCGTCGACGCTTGAGTGCGTTTGGGCTGCGAAATGATTGTGATGCATTCGAAGAGCCTGTTGCATTGGTCTATTCTACGCGGGACTCTTGGCCCTATGGGAGCGGAGCTTGTTCCACAAGTGCTGCGAATGCGAGCAGGTCACCATGACAGGCGCTGTGACGATCGTATGGGGGCGGAGCTTGTTCCACAAATGTTGCAAGCAGGTCACCATGGCAAGCGTCGCGGCGACTGAACGGCCGTTTGCTTTTCATTATGCCGGGCGTCGCCCGTGGCTCCGTTGCCAACGTTACTGGCTGGTAGTTCGGCATGTCTCGCTGTTTGCAGGTAATTGAGCTCCTGTCAGGGAGTATCGCACATCTAAAAAGAACCCGAAAGCTCAAAACAGTAGCAAGATGATAGAGCTTCACCTGCAGAAGGGTCCAGCAGCACAGAAGAACGCTCTCACCCTTCTGTTCACGGGAAATAAAAGCGACTCTGGAAGGCTAGGCAGATGTAGGGTATCGTCCTTCACTCAGCTCATACTTAACACTGGACACCAGCCTGTCCTCGACACCACAGGTGTAGGAGCAGGGGCGGGGGGGGGGGGCGACGAAGACCACTGACCTCGTGGCCAGCCAGGCGCCGTGGTCTGGAGCGTGCCCTGTTGGGCGACCAGCATTGGCTGTCCGCCGGCCATCACCAGCCCGAGCGGCTGCGGCTGCTGCATGGTCGGAGCCGGCCCCACCTGTGACGGCACCATCATCGCTGCGAGCCGTCCGAAACGTTCGCACGGTCCGCTCCGTCCGCCTCTCCTGAGGTCGTCCGTTCCGCTCGTTTCGTTTGTTCTGTTAGCTCCGCACGTTCCGTCAGCAGCTGCGCCCGTCCGCTGCCGTCCCGTCCGCTCCGCCCGTCCGCTCCGCCCGGGCCGCCGAGTAGCGACTGCCGTTGCCCGCTGCCTGGGTAACGGCGGGCCCGGTATTGACGTTATATCGAGGAGGCGGCGTCGCCGTGTGGTCATTGTCGTGGCCCGGCAGTCACCAACTAGCGGTGTCATTGGGGCTTTCTACGCCTTCAGTAGCTGGGATTATGGTGTCTCTCGCTTACCTCTCACTCTGGCGGAAAGGACGGGAACCGCGCAGAATCGAACCCCGTACCCCCGGTTTCCCAGACTCGCAGGTGAACCGCTAAAAAAAAAACGCCACGAGCGCCCCGTCCGGCCAGCGCGGCGTGTTCCATGATCGGGGCGAAGGAGGGTTACGGCCCGGTGGCGACCGTCATGTGTGCGTAATGGCCAGCATGTGCACTCTGAGCACTTCGCCCTGATCCGATTGCCATTTGACCATTCCTCCTGAGATGCAGACCGGGCGTGTATTTACACTGAACAAGCGCAGGTACTCGGAACAGGTGGATCGATGTGTGCTGACGTCGACTCCACGCTGACGGAACGCGTGCTCCACACCCATTTGCGGACTCACGTGGCTGTTGGCAGTTAATTTGCCCTACATTTACCCGTATCGCGTAAGATTTGTGTTCTGGGGCCAGTTTTATAATAAAAATTTATCACCGCTCCTTGCCAAAAAAAAAATAACTCAACCAAAAAAAATTCCGCCGCTTACGGAGTTTTATTAACGGTCCTGCCACCCAACATTAATTTCTCTGATGAAGGCTTTTCTAAACGCAGTCAGCTGTTGCCTGTCAGAAGTGCCAGATGCTATCGTATCGCAAACAAACATTTGTTTATTTTTGCGACGGTCGATTATGCTCATTGAGAACGACAAATAGTTTTGTTACTTCTTAAGTGAATACTTAACCACAAGCATGCCACAAGTAATTCAATGAAAACATTGACGTGCATACTTTGAATAAATTACCCAGTTATTATATCATTGGCGAAATATTGCACACAAAATTAGGGGAATGGCGTTTGAATTATGGTACCATGTGATAAGGCACCTATCCACTACCATTGACTGAAATCCCATGGCATATGCCCCCCGCCCCCTTGTCCGATCCATCTCCTGGTTTAATGACGCCGCTTGCAGCCCCGCGTATGAATATTTCACTGTTTGGCGCATGCGTGCACGGTACCTACCTACCAAGGAATACACCTGGGTATCCCATCCTCCCCTGATCTCCCCATAACCAACTTACCCTGGTGGCAGAGAAATTGAAAGAAGGTCGTAGAATCTAAGCAAATGGGTGTAGTGGGATGTAGAATACAGGCAGGCGGGTAGGCTTCTGTCCAGGCACACAACCAGGTACAGTTACGCATGTCTTCACTCGAAGCAACGCGAGGCCGTTGGTGTCGCTCTGCCTAGGCGTCCATTATCACGTTCTAAGGAGCTCAGGGTTTTACTGTGGCGAATATTTCCTATTTTTACAACAGTTCAAACCTGACAAGCGTATTATTCCTTTTGTTCGCTTCCATCCTTTTCAGCCCAAATTTTAGCCCGCATTTATCCGTTGCCAATCACAACCCTCAGCTGCAACCCCGCCGCCAAAACTGATACCACCGGCAGCTGCTGTTTCAAGGACGGCGTGCGCCGAATGCGTCAACGACAGGGTTGACAACGACGCTTGGCGCTGGGGAACAGAAACAAAAATTGTACTACTTGGCGCATGGGCACCTAAGGGGTGCCATGGTTAGCGCCGACGGCGGGCCGTTCGAGAGCCAACGCGCGTTTTACAGGTGCCTGAGAGGACAATGCATCCTAGCATGGTCATGTAGGTAGACTTCTAGCTACCTACTACCAATGCATAACGCCTACCTTCCCAATGACACGGTTACCACACAAACTGGTAGCCTTTGCTGAATATGCCAGATATCTACCCTGATTGCGTTACATAGCAATGGTGTCCCACCTCTACTTTCGCAAGCTATTTGAACACAAATTAGGCGGAGGCAGGTCTTTGTTTTTTAGAAAAAAAATGCCGACATGGTAACAGAAAAAAACGCTGTATTTTGCTCACGGCAATGCCAACAACATTTAAAGTTCCAAGCAGTTTGCATGATCTTGCTGTCGCTGCCAGTTGATGGACCTGATGAGGGCGTTCGACACCGGGACCTCGAAATCGGATAGCGTCTGCTGTCTTTGATCTGCAACCAGAGACAGAGCACCAATCATGGAATGCATTGGTTTTACTCATATCGTCATCAGAGTTGCGTATACACTTGCCGGAATATCTGCAGGTCGTTACACTCTACCTACATGTCCAGTTTACATGCGGAATATATATTAGTTGAACACAAGTGCATACAACAGCGATAGGGGAGGGGGTGTTCAACAATCACCTTAAAATGCAAAAACCTTGAGTTCGAAATGGAATAGGAATGATATTAATGGTGGGGACTTATACCCGATTAGATTTAGTACCTCCAAACCCACCAGTGAAAGATAAAATTAAGGTCTCATAAAAATCATGGAACACTGTGTCCTGATCTTCCAGTCCCACGTGCAGCCTCAAGCAATCTGTGGCCCACAACATCGCCGAGGAGCCCACAGCGAACATTAGTTAAAAGTGATGGAAAACAGGGGCGCAGTAGGGTTTCATAGGGGCTGCCCTGTTTAATTATGTGCTGTGGCAATATAATTAACATTGTCAATAGCAAAATATGCTATCAGTCTAATGATTGGGGAACAGTCACAGCCTTAGCCTGTTCTCATTGTATTAGTGTCATTGCATGTATGGGAACTTGACAACGCGGAGGTGTGCATCAACTTAGCTGCTTTGATCCGGAGGGTAGCCTTTGCCCTCCCCTTTTTGTTTGTTATATTGCTATTTCATACCAAAATATAAGCAGTACAGTTATGCATACTTGGACAAGGTACTTAAGCACATGAGGGCAAATCTGAATGAATGCAGCCATTAGTCGCGGTTTCGTCACAACTTAGTCAGCACATGGGTGAGAGAGGCTATCTGGTGCACCAGGGGTTAGGGGGGGGGGGGGGGAGCAACAGGTAACTTCATCATAGAAACTATTGAACCTATGCTGCTGCCAAGGAGTGTAAAGGTGGTGGGCCGGATGTGGAGGGGGGGGGGGGGGCTGCCACTAGATAAATCACTAACTTCACAGAAAGAGGGGCAAGCAATCGCAACCAGGGAAGCAAATAGCAAATGCCATCTAAGTTGCATATAAAAAGAAGACATTTAGTCTACTGTATACATCTAAGATGACTAGTTCAAAGGGCCTTTTAAGATATCTATCCGCTGAAGCATTGTGTTGTTCCCCTTTCCCTAACCACTAGAAATAATACAAATGCTTCAGGTACTCATTCACGACTTCAGACCACTGGTTACCACCCAAGCATGGGCCATGAATGGGGAGGGAGAGGAGGTGGGGGCAGGGAGAACTGTCGCACAAATAAGGGCAAGCTTTGACATAAACTCCCCCTCCCCTCCATCCAGCATCTAGAGAGGTTGCACTGCTACGGCCGCCCCCCCCCCGTGGGGGGGGGGGGGGCGGCGTAGTGTCTGTGTCTTAGCGTGCTACAAGCAGCAAGATGTTGAAATGTGGGTAAAGCTGTGATTTATCCAGCAAAAGCGCAAATATCTATAAATCGAGGCCCACCTGTACGCTGTAGCATGTTCCTGAATCCTGGGCAATGTTTTCAGCGACGTTCCTTGTAGTCTATGCTTGTGCGTCTTACACGCATGGGGTGGAACCAAGGTACCACATAGGCATCTCGGAGCATGATGTACACCGCTGGTCCTCATCAGTAGCCTGTTGCCCTTAGCCTGATGTAGCCTTATTTTGATTTCACCATCAATCGGGTGGGGACAAAACGATACAAGCCAAGCAATGTAGATGCATGCACCCTGAAGCTAGGTTTCTGAGCCATTGCAAACCTACTTAGGGCGCATTTTGATAAAAGTACGTCGGCCTTGATTAAAAAAACGCAGCGACGAGGTTGATTTTTTATCGGCCCATTTTCTACAATAACTGCGCATTTACCATTGCGCTTCTCGCCGCACAATTTGTTTATAAAACTCGATGGTGAAAAAGCGCTTCCGACGACGGAGGATTTTCATGGAGGATAATTTTTTTACTCCGTGCTTTATAAAACTCGGAGGAGGAAGATCTGAGAAAAATTGCCTGCGCTGAGGGTATTCTTTTTATAAAACTGGCCTCTGATCCCTTTTTAGCGGTAGTTTAACCGTTATCACGACATTGATGTTACGGCAAAAACTCCTTCCGACAGGAGTGCCGCACGACAAAATTATGCCTCAGAAGCTTATACACTTCATTACATCTACTGCAAGAACTTATATAGTCTTTACGTGTATTCGACGTTACTTCCACTGCAAAAACTCATGCACGACATGAGTGGTTCACGACCAGACTTATACTGCAAAAAGCTATACCCGTCAATGCTTCTGTAGCAGGCTTATACAACATTCCCTTTACTCACATGTGACGTACTTCTACTCCGAGGAGCTATATGTGACTTTAGTGCTGTACCAGGGACGTAGTTTCACGAAATGAGATGGGTGTAGGTGGTGGCTGAACCGTGAAAAAAATGACCCAACCCACACTTAAAGTATGCCAAGGAGCCGGTTTCTCCCAGATTTGGCCCATTTTCTTCCGAAGGTTTTGGGGCTTCATCCCCTTGCCCCAACTAAAAAGGAAGCTACACCCCTGTGCTACTCAACAGAGCTTGAAAAGCAATCAAAAACTTCTATTAAGAGATTATGGCCTTCATTTTTCCTGTTGCAGAAACCTATACAGTCCTTACGTATGTTCGATATTACTTCTCGCACAAAGACTACGCGATATGGGCGCAAGTTTAACCATCAGTGCTCCAACCCATGAATTAAGCCTGGCCAAAGTTCCGGAGGAAAAGAACTCATCGCAACACTTGGCTGGGCGAAGTCAGGCTGGAGGTGCCCACTCCATGGAATCGAAACATTATTCCTGCCGTAAACATTGCGAGCGCTAAACCTATGACGGCAATTCATCTTTTTTACCGAACAGAGGTGTGGTTCACTGTCGTGGAGTTGCAGAACGAGCGTGGAAGCTGAACAGGGGGAAACAACCAAACCTGCCCCAAAATACGCTATACGCGGTGTTTGCCCCGAATGTGGCACACCTTCATATCACAGATGAATTGTGAATGGGGTCTCCCACTGAATACAAAGCTAAACCACTGATCTGGTCTTCATTGAGGCGTGTCATTACTTCAAATGCAATTATTTATATAATGCTCAAGTACAAGTTTTCTAATAGTGGTACCAAGTTTTGTCGCGTATCATATATCATGCTCCAGTACAGGTTTTCTAGTACTGGTGTCGGGTTTTGTCGCGTAGCATATATAATGCTCCAGTGCAAGTTTTCTAGTACTGGCACCAAGTTTTGTCGCGTAGGACCAATGTGTGTAACTATTGGCAGTAGAAGTTGGGTCGTAGCACAGCTGTCAGAAGTTTTTGCTGCAGCACTAATGTTGTGCAGTCGGTGGCACTGATTTGGAGTCAGTTTAAACACCGCCGCGCAGCGTGATGATGCGCAGATTGGGCAGGTGTCAGATGTTTGGTTCAAGTCCGTCTCTGAAGGATCTCACACTGTTCGGGAGTTGGCAGCACTGAGGAGCGATCGCCTGGACCCGCGATCAACACTGCGCCAACTGCAGCGCCCGCGCCAGCGGGCTCGCGGGTACTGCCGGCCATAAACAGCGCCTTTGGCCCCGGGACGCGTCCTCTGGAAGCGGGCTGACCATGGGTCACAGGAGCGCTCCTTCCCGCCAGGGCTAGGAGATCTGCACCGCCGGCTGCGTGCCAGCCGGCCTTGACGGGCGTCTGGACGGCGGTGTAGTGATCAAGACTGCACCGCAGGGATGCCGAGCACCGCACCGCCGTGCTTGATGGGCCAATGCTGCGACATTAGCCAGATCACCTTTGTGATGTCACCCAGAAATTAGAGTTGTCTAGCTCATGCGCATTACATCAATTGGGAGATGGGCGGATTGCGGTGGGTTGTAATGCTAGGGGCCTTCATCGGCTGTACGGTATTACCTCTGCGATCGGCTGTAGTGTGAGCGGCCTTCAGGGTCTGTACGGTAGTACCTCAGCAATTCGGTTGTAGCATGAGAGGCCCTCAGCGGCTGTACAGTCTTACCTCTACAATTCGGCTGCGCATACATGTGGTGTGCGGGGATGGCTGCTGATCGATATTTGCACGTGCTAGCAAAGCTCTTCGCGCTCAAAATAGTCATTTCAGCGTCCGGAGCCCATCATCAATCGATTTTGTGGATTGATCGGATTTGTCGCACGCGGCCAGGTTTCCGGGCCACCATTGTACCAGTAAGTACCACGTTGAGGCGAAGGAGCTGCGAGGTTCTCAAGTGCGCGCCATGCGGGCGGTTTGGGACCTCTGGCACGGATACTTCGGGAAAGTCCAGCTTGAAGCCGCGCCGCAGAGCCGGCCGGTGGCGAAGGTGTCCTTGACGGCCTCCGTGACGTCCGTCGCGCATCGGTCCAGCTTGAAGCCGCGCCGCAGACCCTGCCGGTGGCGAAGGTGTCGTTGACGGCCTCCGTGACGTCCGTCGCTCATCAGTCCAGCTTGAAGCCGCACCGCAGACCCGGCCGGTGGCGAAGGTGTCCGCGACGTCCGTCACACATGGGTCCACCTTTGCCGACGCCGTTACCACGTCGCCGTTAACTCGATATGCTCAGCATTCAGAGTTCATTGCGGTCGTGTGTATCGGTCGCCAGGCAACAAGGTCAATGGCTCAATACTCTGACGTCCCCGGCTTTCGCGGTCTCTTTCTGTCCCGAGTTTTGTGTGACGAGTCGGGCCGGTCGTCGGACCGGGACAATGCGGCCGTGAATACGCAGCAGCGCATGCGGCAGCCGGGCTCTCGGTTGTATGCTCGCGACATTGGCGAAGGCCGCGGCCGGGAATCGATGACCGTTGTTCTTTGGTGTTGTCGGACGAAAAGGAAGGGGCTCCCGTGGGTCTCGCCTTGGTTATGCAGCATGGTGCAAAGGAGCTCTTGTGATGTTTTTTGTTCGAATGGTGAATTATCAGAAGTCTCGAAACAGCTGCTCATTTGACGTCGGCCTTTGAAGCATGCACTTATGGAGAAGCGCGTAACGTTTCTCAAGATTTCCCCGGACGGGTCATTAGTGTAAGTAAACGAAACCGCTGACACCTCCGTGCAGCTGTGTTCTCCAATATCACACCCGAGAAGCCCGTGAAACCCCGTACTCCGCCCCGTCAACAGTGGGACTGGCATGCTACCCACGCTGAACCCGTACTACGAGGCCAACCCGCTGAGCCGTATGATCTCGGACGACCGGTTCATCCTGCACACCCTGTCACGCTGGCACTTCGGCGCCGACGACACGGGCGACCTGATGAACCCGGCCAACGCCGACCACCTGATCGAGGTCACCGGCGCCGGGGTCAACCTGGTGACGGCCGACGGCAGCGTGGACTGTCAGGTCAGTGGCCGGGGCGCGGGTCAGATGTCAGACGCCGCGGGCTAGCCAGGGCGGGGGAGGGCGGCACGAGATTCACGGGTGAAGGCGGAGGCAGGCTCGGTGACTCGCGACGGGGGAGATAGGCCGTGGGTTAGGGACGGAGAGGAGGCAGAGACCGGCGAGCGTGGCCGGACAGGTAAGCGGGCTCGGGGCCGTGACGTGCGGTTGTACCGGGAAGAGGGTAGAGACCGGTGAGCGTAGCCGAACAGGTAAGCGGGCTCGGGGCCGTGACGTGTGGTTGTACCGGGAAGAGGGTAGAGACCGGTGAGCGTGGCCGAACAGGTAAGCGGGCTCGGGGCCGTGACGTGTGGTTGTACCGGGAAGAGGGCAGAGACCGGTGAGCGTGGCCGGACAGGTAAGCGGGCTCGGGGCCGTGACGTGTGGTTGTACCGGGAAGAGGGTAGAGACCGGTGAGCGTGGCCGGACAGGTAAGCGGGCTCGGGGCCGTGACGTGTGGTTGTACCGGGAAGAGGGTAGAGACCGGTGAGCGTGGCCGGACATGTAAGGAGGCCCGGGGCCGTGACGTGTGGTTGTACCGGGAAGAGGGTAGAGACCGGCGAGCGTAGCCGAACAGGTAAGCGGGCTCGGGGCCGTGACGTTGGGTTGTACCGGGAAGATGGCAGAGACCGGTGAGCGTGGCCGGACATGTAAGGAGGGCCCTGGGCCCCGACGTGGCGGCGTGGCGGGGAAGGGGAGGGGGGGGGGCAAAAAACCGGTGAGCAGGCTCGGAACCCTGGCGTGGCGTTGTACCGGGGAGGGGGGGGGGGGGGGGGGGGGGTGGCAGAGACCGGTGAGCGTAGCCGAGCAGGTGAGCAGGCTCGGAGCCCTGGTGTGGCGTTGGTACCGGGGAGGGGGGGGGGACAGAGACCGGTGAGCGTAGCCGAGCAGGTGAGCAGGCTCGAGCCCTGGCGCGGCGTTGTACCGGGGAGGGGGGGGGGGGACAGAGACCGGTGAGCGTAGCCGAGCAGGTGAGCAGGCTCGGAACCTGGCGTGGCGTTGTACCCTGGAGGGGAGGGGGGGGGGGGGGGGGGCAGAGATCGGTGAGCGTAGCCGAGCAGATGAGCACGCTCGGGGCCCTGACGTGGCGTTGTATCGGGGAGGGGGGGGGGGGGGGCAGAGACCAGTGAGCGTAGCCGAGCAGATGAGCACGCTCGGGGCCCTGACATAGCGTTGTACCGGGGAGGGGGGGGGGGGGCAGAGACCAGTGAGCGTAGCCAAGCAGATGAGCACGCTCGGGGCCCTGACGTGGCGTTGTATCGGGGAGGGAAGGGGTGGGGACCGGCGAGTGTAGCCATGGATGTAAGCAGCCCCGGGGCCCTGACGTGGCGGCGTGTCGGGGAGAGGAGGGGAGAGGACAGAGGCTGGCAAGCGTAGCCGCACATGTAAGAAGGCCCGGGGCCTTGACTTGGCGGCGTGTCGGGGGAGAGGAGGGGTGGAGACCTGTGAGTGAGCCGGTGGGTGACCAGGCCCTGACGTGGCGGCGTGTCGGGGGAGGGGAGGGAGTGGAGACCTGTGAGTGAGCCGGGCGGGTGAGCAGCCCCCGGACCCTGACGTGGCGGCGTGTCGCGGGGAGGGGAGGGGGCAGAGACCGGTGAGTGGGCCGGGCGGGTGAGCAGGCCCCGAGCCCTGACGTGGCGCTACACACCTGTCTTATTCGTGGCTCCCGTGACTCCGGACATGTGTCAGTCGGCTGCAGCTGGGTGGAGTCGTTGGCCAGACTCCAGGCCGCTGAATAGCCCGCTCACAACGGGGCCGACTCATGTGGTGTCTGTTGCGTTATTGGGGGTCGTATGTGCATATTGGGCTGTTTGCTGCGTCTTGGTTCGTAATGAAGCTATGACATATTTTGTGCTCGTTTGCTGCATGTTGCGTGCCTTGTTTTCCTACCAATCTGCTATTGTGATGGCATGAATGAGCCTCATCATAATTTTGTGCGGCTAAATTTGGTCGTGCGTCGTTCTTACATCATCATGGGGATCGCCTCGCCGCGGTAGCAGTGCACATGGTTTTCACGAGTACTCGCTGTCGCGAATAGTAGCTTACATCGATTGTCAGCATCGATACAGTCATCGTGCCATCGCTTCACATTCACTTACACTGTTTGCTGGTAAACCTGCAAGTGTAGCCGCGTGCCATACGGTGCTCGCCCCCATGTCGGAGCGCTTCGGCACAGGAACGTGAGCAAGCTTGATTGCTGATGTACATGTTGCTTGCGTGGCCTATACGCCCGCGGTCATTTGCGTACATGCCTACCGAGTAGCACACAAGTTATGGGCGTTGATGGCCGTCGCTGTCGATGCACCTAAACCTCCACTGGTCGTAATGGCACACATAATTACGTCTTCACCGCTATCTATTTCTTTGCGTGACTGTTAATGATAACATCGATTTCCTGAATGAACAAAGACTGTGGCGCCCCAATTACTGACCCCGCAAATTCCCCTAGGTCCGAACGTTCCTCGCCAGCTCCCCGAGTGGGCATTAAAATACGGAAGTACTGTTACCAAGGACAAGTGGGGTGTTTTTGTTTCGGCTTAGCTTAGCGGCAAAATTTACAGCATGCGGCGCGTGGTCGATCGTGTTTAGACGTTTGGTGGGTAAAGCACATGCGTGGGCAGATGAGTTTGTTTGCATACTGGCGACAAAGCAGGCGCCATCGAACACAGCGAAGTTGCTTGCTTTGAGCTGTACGGGCGACAAACCAGGCGCGACTGAACGCGGCGAAATCGTTTTATTTGAGCGTCACTGGCGACAAACCAGGTGCTATCCAACACGCGAAATTGCTTGATTTGATCGTATGCGCTGGAATAGTACGTTTCTTGGTATTCTGCGTGTCGTTGTGTTGCTATGCTGTGAGGGAAGGCCAGACAGTTTCCGGGATATTTTATTCGAATCTCGCACGACGAGCGGACGCGGCTGGAGGGGGCCAACGTCACTGATGTTTATAGAGCAGCGACAGCAGTGGAACGAAGCCTTCTTCGGTTCTCGGTTTGCGAACCCGCAGTTTTTCCTGCAGTGGTGTCGGCTCGGCTTCGGCTTTTAGCGGATTCTCTCGGCTGACCGGCTTTGGTCTTACCTTTGCGCCAGTTTTCGACGGTCGGCTATGGCTTTATTTTTGTGGTAGTTTTGTGCGCAGGCTTGACTTTCGGCTTCCAAGTTTGTGTTGTTTTAATCGTGGCTCTAGCTTTGGTTTCATGCGATCTTGAATTGCTCGGTGCGCTTTTTCATGATGGTTTTCTTTGCAGTTGCGGCCTTGCTAAAGAATACAGTAAAAGGAAACACAAAAACAGTCGCCTATTCGAGGCTTCGGACCATATATGTCTGAAAGCCAAAAGTACAGCGGAAGACGGCCTGAAAATTGAGGCGTTCGAAACGGTCGGCACAGACTTATCTACAAGACGAGGTTTTTAGTCAGAAAAAATATCACGTCCGTAATGCTAACTCGTCTGTCTCAATCACCCCGCAAGACCCTGGTGACATTTTATGACACCATACATCCATACAGTTTCAGCAAACGGGAGACGCTTTTCGTTAAGGAAAAACATCGTCGTACACTAAAATAACTAGGCCGAAGCCATGTCTTAACTAATGGGGTCAGCTTTGGACTGCCCGTTTCTCAAGTTCGAAACCCTTGACTTCAGGCTTCGGTTTCGTGTTAACGAAATAATTATCACATTTCAAAAATGCATAGCCGCTGGCGTGGGCTTAGGCTTCGGCTCCACGTTCTTGTTCGGCTTCAGGTGGGTCTTTGAAGCCTGGTTTGGTCACGACAGCGTATTTGCCTCCAGAGTCTCTGCCCCGTTCGTACACTGTAGGCCATCCCGCCAGGGAAGCTTCAGCCACACCTGCACACTGTGACCGGGACGGACCTGGCCGCGACGTGTGTCCGGCGCGTGAGCGTGACACGGGACCCGCTGACCTGTGGCAGGGCGAGCCGGCCGAGCAGGAGCGGATAGTGGCCGGCCTGCACCACTGCGAGGTGTGGTGCGCCCTGCGTGCCCTCCAGCCCGGCGGCACGCTGGTCGTCAAGATGTTCACGTTCTACGAGTCCGGCTCCGTGTGCCTGCTGTTCCTGCTCAGCTGCTGCTTCGCCGAGGTGGGTCGGCTGCTGGCCGTCCGCGGCCGCTCCAGCCGCCCCGAAACAGCCGTGCAGCGGCGCCCTGTGCGTGTGCGTGTCCAGGGGTCATGTGGCGGGGTTGCCGCGCTGACCGTAGCGGTCACGCACGCTCGAAGGCGCCTGACGATAAATTTAACATGTTTCACGCCGCCGGAGGGTGCGGTGCTGTTCCAACAGGTTAGCCCGATTAAAGAGCATCCGCGTGACATTTGGAATACTCTGCTGCGTTCACCGTCCTACGCCGCATTGGCAAACGTGGAAAGGGAAAACCGTGTGACAGGTGCTAGCTTTGTCTCAAGTTTAGTTTCGTTTTCATGGATCTGCGCTGTTTTGTACCGATTTCGATAGCCGCTCTCCGGCGGCCAGGCAATTGTCCCCCTGCCCTGACCGTCCCCTGACCCATGTCGGCCAGGTGAGCGTGGTCAAGCCGTCGTGCAGCAAGTCGGGCAACTCGGAGGTGTACGTGGTGTGCCGACGGCTGGCGGCGGGCCCGCTCAGCGGCGGCCACCTGGAGCGGTGGCGGCGGCGCTACGGGGCCGACGGCCGCCAGCCGCTCTTCGCCCGACACCACGTGCCCGACACGTTCATCCAACAGCTTGTGCAGTGCGCCAGGCTGTTCAAGGTTGGTGTTAAAGGCTGTTCACAGCGGCGCCGGCGATGAGAGAAAGTGAGAGACGCTTTGTAGCCGGACCTGCCTTGTTCACATTTCTTTTGCCGTCAGTGCAAAGGTGCAAATACACAAACAATCATGTGGAGAGATCTGGAGTCTTCTTCTTCCTGAAAGAGCGGAGAGAGAGAGAGTGAGAGGTGAGAGAGAGCTGCTTCCAGACAAAGCTTACACTTCATAACTCGGTGTTTTGTTCAGTCCACTGAACTATTCCCTGTCTACTCAGCGTTACGAATAGCAGACGTCGATGGTGCTGACATGCTGTCCGTTTGTTGCCCGTGATGGGAGCCGTCTTCCCCACTGAACCTGACCTGACCTGACCTGACGTGACCCGGCGCCGGCCGTTGATTGCCAGACGTCACAGGAGGCGGAGATCGCTCGGAACCTGCAGCTGCACGAGCGGGCGGATGGCGCCGCCTGGCGCGAGGTGGACGCCGTCAGAGAGGCGGTCGCCGCCCAGTTCCTGCAGCGCTGCCGCCTGGCGCCCATAGATAAGACGCTGAAGCTGAGCCACCCGGTCGATCCCCGGCTCTACACGTCGTTCCAGGTGAGCGGGTGGCCCAGCGCAGGGACGCCCCGATCTGTCCTGAGTGGGGACGGGAGCCGACTGTCGCGCCGCGGCCTTCGGAATGAAGCCGTTCGGTGTCGCGCGGCGAGCAGGAAGACCGGCTCGTGCAACAATGTTAGGTCTCGTCCCGTCGAGGACGATTGATAGCCGGCGGCGGTACTCGCTCTCATTCACCGAGTAGCCCTTCCCGGACTGTTCGTTGTTACTCAGCGTGTGCTGGCGGCCGTCACACAAAGTAGCTTACGGGATTTAAAGCCGGTCCAGGTGTTAAGTTCACTCATGGTATGATACTGTTTGCTGGGTTGTGATTGATGAAAAGAGTACATCACCAGCTATCATGCATAACCTGATCGTTTGTATTAACTATGGGGCTTTTGGTGGATGACCGTGAGGAGTTTTGAAAATATCTCGGAGGCCGCGGTTTCATATCGGGACGTGCGCCATCCTGCAGCCAGCCATGCAGCGCACGCCCGCCGCCGTCTGACATCGCCGCTGTCTCCCAGGTGGAGAACAAGGCCGGCACCGGCACCTACGAGCAGCGCACCGGGCCGCGTTCGGACCGGGACCGGCTGGCGGCGGCCGCCCGGCAGCTGGCCGTGCTGGCCGCGCCGCCGCCGGCCGCCGAGTTGGAGTGGCGGCCAGCGCCGGCCGCCGCCGACTTCCGGCAGGCGGCCAGCCGCGCCGAAGGTCTGCCGCCGGCGCGGCTGCACGCCTGCAAGTTCTGCTCGCTGCGTCTGCTGAAGCTGCACGGTCGCGTGGCGGCGGCGGCGGCGCGGTGCCTGCCGGCCGAGCCCGGCGACGAGCGAGGCGCTCGGGTGGCGCGCGTCGAGGACGGTGTGCTCGTCTCCCTGCCGTGCCGCGCCGAGCCGTGGCCCTGTGACGCCGGCACGGTGACGACGCTGCGCGCGGCGGCGGCGCTGCTGCGGCCGGGCGAGACGCTCGAGCTGCGCGGTCTCTTTCTCTTCCACCGGCTCAACATCGGCCTGCTGCAGCTGGCGGCGGCGCTGTTCGAGCGGGCGGCGCTCCTGCCGCCGCCGGCCGGTCGGCCGCGGCCGTGCGTGGCGCTGCGCGGCGCCCGTGATCCACCGGCGCTGCTGGCGCTGCTGGACGCGGTGCTGCAGGTGCTGACGCCGCGCACGCTGTCGCTGTTGCCGGTCACAGAGCTGTGTCTGCGGCCGGGCGTGGAGCAGCTGGTGGCCTACAATGACAGGCTGCTGCGGCTGATCACGGCTGACCTGCTGGAGCAGGTTGGCGCCGGGCAGACGGCAGCTGAAGAGGAGCCGTCCGGGACCGGGCCGGCCGACCTGCTGGAGCGAGACGGACAGCGGCAGACGCCCAGCGAGCCGTGCGAGGCGGTGAAGCGGACTGAAGAGCGGCAGGCCTTGAGCGGTCAGTGCGATCAGTTGGAGCGAGCTGGAGGCGGACAGGTGGTCAGCGACCAGTGCGATCAGCTGGAGCGGGTTGGAGGCGGACGGGTGATCAGCGATCAGTGTGATCAGTTGGAGCGGACTGGAGGGGGACAGGCGGTGAGCGGGCAGTGTGACGCGTTGCAGCTCACTGGAGCGATGCAGACAGAGACTACCGCGGTGGTTTGAGACGCGACTGTGAAGCCACCTGGCCACAGACTCCCGAGACGCCGTGATGCGGTCGCCGGGGCGAAGTGGGACCCTGACGCGGCACGTGGTGACCGAACGCGCCGGGCTTGGACCGGGAGCGACCGCTCTGCGGCGGCCGACCGCTGCACTCTGTTTTGGGCCGCTGAAAGGGCAGCCCGATGAGTCCTCGCAGGAATGGTAGATCACGGACGGGTTACAGTGTGATCGTATGATGCGAAGAGGATCAGTTTGTTTACTGGAGGTTCCAGCTATTTGACGATCTTTTGGATTGGCTGGCTCGTGGAGGAACTGTGTCGGCCTGCTGTCGTGGCGTGCCTTCCGGGTTGTTGCTTAAGCACGATATGGCTTCGCGATGGCTGGCACCCGGGCCACGCGCCACGTGGAGGCTGCGTCGGCACGGCGGTTTTCATCAATCGACTGATAATGTCGGCTGGCGGGATGGCACGGGGCTGTGTGTATTCCCACATTGTTTCCAATAAACGGGCTGCAATTGCCAATAGTTTTAACACGCATCCTGTGGGCTTGTCAGAATGGGACGATGGGAAGTGTGGGGGGGGGGGGGGGGCGGGGAGCTGCACCTCGCTCTCAGCTCCCGCCGCGTCGGCGCCACGGAAATGTTAACGTGGTGATTTCGAGTTGACTATCTCGTGAACGGAAGCCATGAATGGTTGCCATGACAGTCTCACAGTAGCCGTACGTTAGGGACCAACATGTTACCGCCGTTAAACGGTTAGTAGCCAAATATCGAAAGGAACATGTCGACTGTTGCATGGCAATTGCATATTACATATGTTTTTCGCTGAGCTCGTGGAGTGGGCCGAACCGGCCAAGCTGGGCATATGTTCTACCTTTATGCACACGATAAGTAGAGGCACCTCATGACGTAACTTGGTACCAACGACCATGCACTGAAAGTTCGTAAGTTTTGAACTGAAGAAGTGATGTCCATTTTTGTCGTCAAAGTCGGTATACCGGCTGCTTGGAGGTTTGCTGTGTGGTGTATGGTTGAGACGGGCTACCTGACTCCAGCATTTGTTCATTTGTTTACTTAACTTCATATGCAAGGTCCAGGCTTCATGGTATGTTAGCAAATGTCTAATGCACGTACAGCTCCTTCTGTTAAGAAGTAAACCTCCCATATGTATTTGTATCTGTTTTACGCTCTTCAGAAAGTTCTCGCGACTAGAGCTCAAAGGTGGGCAAAGGCCGTAGAAATATTGAACCTATCATCTGTGCCAGCGTTGGTGCCACGTGGCTGACAGTTTTTACGGTTGCCGTGGCTTTCTCTGAAAGTATTTTACATGAGCATGCTCTTGCCTTAGCATTGAAAATATGATGTGTTACAGCTTTTCTGTCTTAGGAGAAATCCATCGTCGCACATGGAACCAGATATAGTGGAAATTTGTCGGCGGTGCACCCTTCACAGTACCGGACGTGTAACCGTCCCGCCCTAAACTGCAACCGCTGTAGCCGACGCAACCATCCCGCTCATCCTGCTTATGCCGCCTAACGCCATGCGCACAGGACCACCTCAGAAAAGGTGTAACAACAAGACGGCGAAATGGTAAATAAATAACCCTGACAACTATGCAATGTCTGAAGCGAGGGGCATAACATTACGTTTTGGGGCGCCACCGCTGCTGGCTTGGCATCATCTGGCCTCGGTCACGTTACAAGCCCGCCAGCTGACGGCAGCCCCGACTGGTGACGTCACGGCTCGTCAGCTGACAGCAGCCCCGGCTGGTAACGTCACGGTTCGTCAGATGACGGCAGCTGCGACTGGTAACGTCACGATCCGTCAGCTCACGGCAGCCCCGACTGGTGACATCACGGTTGGTCAGCTGACGTCAGCTGCGACTCGTGACTTCGCGATCCGTCAGTTGACGGCAGCTGTGGGTGACGTCACGATCCGTCAGCTGACGCCAGCCCCGCCTGGTGACGTCACGGTTCGCCAGCTGACGGCAGCCCGACTGGTGACGTCGCGATCCGTCAGCTGACGCCAGCCCCGCCTGGTGACGTCACGGTTCGCCAGCTGACGCCAGCCCCGACTGGTGGCGTCGCGATCCGTCAGCTGACGGCAGCCCCGACTGGTGACGTCGCGATCCGCCAGCTGACGGCAGCTGCGGGTGACGTCGCGGAGCAGCTCGCTCGTGTTCCCCTCAGCCCACCACTATTCCAGCGCTCTGCTCGGGGTGGGGAAGTACGACAGCGTACCCCAGATGAGTGATTACGCGCGTTTCATGTGTATGTACTGATCTATTACCAAACGACGGTGAGAATCATCACAATGGAACGGGACCCACCGGTCGCCGGCGGCCCTATGTACACTCACGACACACGCAGACGGCGCGCACGGACGCTCCGGCGCGACAGGGCAGCGGCCGCACGGGACGGCGCGTACGCTTCCCACAAGGCCAGTCGGCACGCCCACTGTCGAACGGTGGCGGTGGCAGTGGCTGAAACACCGGCTGCGCCTTTCACGTCGACAAGTAAAACACAGGAAAACGGACAGTCCACCAATAAATACTCTCTCACACACCCGCAGGCAAACGTGAGCAAATTTTCAGAGTGGTTCCGCACCGTCCCGAGCGATCGCGGATGAAAGAAACCTGCGCAAAACTCTGTCTTTTCTCGGCCAGGGAGGGGAGGGGTGTCGGTCGGGGATGAAATGGGGGCACCACGATGGTGGCGCGGGAGGGGGGGGGGGACGTTCAGAGCGCCGAGACGATAGGGGGACTAGCTACGTTCTACTCTACACTAGGGGCTCCGTCAAGCCCTCCAGAGTCGGGGCCGCTCATTATCCGCCGCCGCTGAGATCATCGGTGAAGGAAAGCGGGGGGGGGGGGGGAGGGGGCATACTGGGAGGCATTACCCACCGATACGCGGAAGAAAAGTGTCGCGTGTCAGCGGATCAAGAGTGGTCAGGCAACTGGGCTATTCAAAATGAATTGAGAAGGTAGAAAACCAGACGGCTTACCAACGACAATTTTCCAGGTGTTACTACTTCAGACCAAGCAAGCGCCGTTAGAAGCAACAAAATCCCCAACATACGAAAATCACGTAAAGGTCTTGTTTGTAGAAACGCAACTTGAGGTAAGGATTTCTGACATACATTTTGGTAAAACCAATCAAAGGCAGTGGGAGCTGTACGCACCACAAAAGTGAAAGACGCGCGGAATCAGTGTGAGGTATTTCGTTGTCGATAGAATGTGAGGAAGAGGATAAACATGCACATGGGATGGGTGCGAGATGTGTGGATGTTGAAGGCGGGGCGCGGCGGACGCGTCCGTGTCCTGCAGTCCCGTGACAGGTGGCAGCGGTCGGACAGTGATCAGTTCGCTCCGGGATATCGCAGTCACTCGGCTTGAATCCATCAACCAGCCACCCATCCACGCACACACACACACACGGTTGGGCCAGCTATGACCGGAAGACAGTGGACATGGGGACACGGGCCAGCTGAACGCCGCCGCTCTGGCTGCCGGCGGCGCTCCTCCCCCCCCCCCCCCCCCCTCAGCTCTCCCGAGACCGATCCGCTCCCGGCTCAACTAAAACACAACAGCGTGCACACAGACAACTCAAACCTGCGGCGTGACAGACGCACTGCCAGACGCCCGGCAGGCAGACACGCACACACACACACGCACACGCACATACGCGCACGCACGCTCGCACGCACGCACACACGCGCGCTCGCGCACGCACGCGCGCTCGCGCACGCACGCGCACACGCATACACACAAGCACACGCACCCGCACGCGCGCACACGCACACACGCACGCGCACGCACACGTACGCGTACGCACGCGCACGCACGCACCTGTCACGCGCCGCGGAGTTATGGTTGACGCAGCCTGATGCGTATGGACTGATGGACTGACTAGGAGTGAGGCCTCGGTGCGCGACAGTAGTTCGCCGGCCCGCCGCCGCGCGGCGCCACCTGTCTGAGCGGAAGCGCCGCCGCCGTCGTGGCGCGCGCCGGCGGCGGTGTGCGCCACGCACGGACCGATTTGCGACGGAACAACACGAGATCGTCTGGCAGGTGACAGTGGGCGCAGCCGCGCCGACGCGACGTCCCGGGACAGCGCGAGATCGGACGCCGGCCTGCCGCGGCCGCCCGCCAATGGCACTCGGGGAGTTGGCAGTGTACGGGCAGTGACGGTATTGTACTACATGACAGTCTGCTTGTCGGCGTGCGCCTATGTACAAAACACTATAAAAATGGACTGGAGACGCCGTGCCTCCGATGCCGCCACGCGAGCGACCATCCTCTTCTACTGGCAGTGCAATTGCTGGTCACTCTCCTCCGGCCCACCGGGCAGCGCCCCTAGGCGGCCGGGGTGAAAAACACGTGATGGCCGGGACGCCCCGGCCGGCCGTGACGCCTCGCTCGCACAACATCGCTAAATTCCAACCATTTGTACTGAGGTCCGCTGGCGGCGGCGCACAGCTGCCTGGAGGGGGCTCGGTAATAGCGCCGGGGGCCGCCGGGGCGGGGCTAAGAGGTCTTGCGTTTGCGCCGGGTGGGCGGCTGCCCCACGGCGCGCGCCAGCCGCTCCCACACGCCGACCGGCAGCTGGCTGCAGGGCACGCGCCGGGTCGACCTGAAGGCGTGCGCCGGTATCCACTCGTCCTCCACACTGTCGGCAGAGTGGCGGGGTGGTCAGACCGAGCCAACAGTGTCGGTGGAGGGGCACCTGGCGCGGACTGAGGCGCGGAGATATAACTCAGGCTGAAAATAACGCAGCACGGCTACAATCTATTTGAACCTCCACAACATGTAGGTGTGCGCTTTCTGTAATTCAACGAACTAGCAATTCGGTATTGCAAAGCCCCATCCAACATGCATCGACTGAGTCTTGGTTACAACTAGTTCTAAGCGCAGAAACCATCAATGAAAACAAACAGTACCGGTCACGTGCGCGTGAATTCCACACAGAGCTCAAGGGAGGGACCGCAGAGACGACTTACACATCCGCCGGCTCCCAGTGCACCAGCACCTCCGGCTTGTTCGTGGTGAGGGTCCGGCGTGCTGTTACCTGTAACAGAGGGCAGCACGTCACATTCGGGACCGACGCCGACGGCGGAGCGCAGGGTGCGAACAGAGGGCAGCACCATCACACCCGGCGCCGATACCGACGGCGGAGGGCAAGTGCAAACAGAGGGCAGCGCTATCACACCGGGGGCCGATACCGACGGCGGAGGGCAGGGTGCAAACAGAGGGCAGCACCATCACAACCGGGGCCGATACCGACGGCGGAGGGCAAGGTGAGAACAGAGGGAAGCACCTCCAGTCACGCCCGCAACAGGACAGCACGGAAGGCTGACGACAGGAGAGGCACGGCAGAGTCAGCATGGCTGAACAGCAACGGGGTTACACATCTGATCAGCCAGGCGGAAACAGCAGACAGACGACGAAACAGGGCCGAGCTGGCGGCACAGGCCGCAGTGCAGGCGGCTCCGCGCGAGACGTCCACAGCAGCTGGCCAGGCAACGGCCCTGCGTGTCCCGCTGAACGTTGCTGGCTGACGCAGTGTGAGTGGTCCACCGGAGCGCGGCGTGAGCACACCATCCCGATGACAGCTTAGTGGCGTGGACCGGAGGCCTGGCGCGGCCTGTGACGCACTATCTGGCCCCACCCGCTGATCGGCTATGTCGTACAAATACCACCCCGTACTATCACGCCTTCCACGTCAGTGACTGCCAGCCAGTCCCCTGAGTGACACGCACGTCATGTCTGTTCCGCCGCCGGGTCTGGATGTTCGCCGCCAGCTCATTAGGTCATCGGAGCTGGCCTACCGGGATGACCGTTCACAAAAGCGTGAGAGATCTATCCACCGGCACCACCGTCGAGACCCAGTACAGGTGCGCGCCGAGCCTCGACACGTGCCCCGCCGGCGGAGCGGGTCAGAGGTCACTGGCCGTCCCCCGGGGTCACTGACCCTGGCCGTCAGCTGGACGGACCGGCTGGCGATGGCCGGCAGCCTGTCCAGCGCGCTGTCCGCCGACACCAGCTGGTACCGCAGCCGCTCCATGGCGCTCGGGTCACAGAAGTCGAAGATGCGAGCTGCCGGCACACGCAGAGGCCACGTCACGCCACATCACGTCACGTCACGACGCGTCGCGCTACGTCACGTCAGGTTAGATATCACAACGTTCAGCGGCAAACCACGCCACCATCGCGCATTAGCCGTGATGGCGGGACGAGCTTCCCGATCAGGGTGCACCGCTAAAGCTCTTAACAAAAAGACCGGCCGACGGAATACAACGAAACGGTTTTAAGACTGGAAGCCGAGGGCCGCTTAAGAGAGCGGAGTGGTAAAACCCAAACCGGAAAAATTCACGGCAAGCCGCGACAGGTACTGTTTGCACACGGTGATGTATGAGAACGGGGTTCGATTATCCGCGATGCCCGCCCTTCTTGCCAGGGTGAGAGGCAGGCGACGCCATACAGCCTCAGCAACTGAGTGTGTTGTAACGCTCCAATGACACACACACGCACGCACGCACACACACACACATGATGACGTAGGAGAGTGTCGTCAGGCATGCCAGGCTCAGGGACATGTTCAGGGACATCGATCCAGGTCGTCGCCCGTCAATATTGCAGGGGTTTCACATTGCGCACTATCGCTAAGTGCATAACGGCACACACTCTGTGCTAACTCCACCGCCCTGCCAACACCACGCCACACACCATACTCACGGTGTATCATATAACATTGATCAAACTCGGTCTGTCAAATGTCAAATGGACGCACAAAGTCAGGCTCATGACGGCCTTGGAGTGAAACTCAGGGGCGCACCAATGCGGCCAACACTCGGTCCAGGGTCGGGCTCTTCGCTGAGTTGAGTAAGAGAGGGCCGGAGCGATGTCCCCAGACCCGAGGCCTGCCCCAGAAGAGGGCGTCGCACGACGCCGAGGGGGCCGGCAGCCCCGAGCCGCCGGCCGCTGCCGCAGACCACTCGGCGCGCCGCTCACCGGAGTAGGGGTGCTGGTCGAGCTGGGCGCGCCGACCGCTGCCGCAGACCGCTCGGCGCGCCACTCACCGGAGTAGGGGTGCTGGTCGAGCTGGGCGCGCCGGCCGCTGCGGCGCGGCGTCTTCACGCTCGAGTCGGTCTTTTTCCCCGGCGCCGGCGGGTTGAAGTGGTGGTTTACGTGCCGCTCCAGCATCGACTGTGGTGGAGGGCGGGCTTTACTCAGAACTTCTCATCAGGGACTCCGGTCACAATCTCTGGTTATGGGCTCCGGTCATGGGTTCCGGTTATGGGCTCCGGTCATGGGCTCAGGTCATGGGCTCAGGTCATAGGATCAGGTCATGGGCTCAGGTCATGGGCTCAGGTCATGGGATCAGGTCATGGGTTCCGCTCATGGGCTCCGGTCATGGGCTCAGGTCATGGGTTCCGGTCATGGGCTCCGGTCATGGGCTCAGGTCATGGGTTCAGGTCATGGGATCAGGTCATGGGCTCAGGTCATGGGATCAGGTCATGGGCTCCAGTTATGAGCTCAGGTCGGGGCTGTGTTCAGGAGGTCAGGGCAGGTAGCGCCGGTCGGAAGACTCGTGTAGACTCAAGCATAACTGACACAGGCTTAAACACGGTCTCCATGAAGTTACTGACTGATCGGAAGGCAACATCGCATAACACCATGCCTAGCTATGCTGGCATGTACGTGAGCTATATACCTACATCACCAATATGCCAGATATCGTATACAATGTGTTATTCGTGTTTAGGTGAAATAGCCGACAAATCCCCTGCCGTCAGGCTACCAGCTGGCATGTCCGCCCCCCACCCCCACCCCCTGACAAAGATCGTTCGCCTCAGCTGATTGCCAAACCCGGCGGGTTCACCCGCCCCGTAACGCGACGGGTCGGGCGGACTGGTCTGGCAACGAGAGGCCAGAGCAGAACGGACAGACTGAGCCCACGCAGGGACAAACAGAAGAACACGCCATGCGGAGGGATCTACGCTTACAGGGGCCGAATAGTGACCATCCCGCCGGCGGGCACCAGAGACCCCACAGCTGGCACGTGGGAGAGAACACACCGCCCGGCACGACCACGAGCAAAGGTCAAAAGTTCAGACAAGCATATGACATGGCCCGGTTTCAGTTGGCTTTTCACATGGCCAGCAGCCGATCACGGCACGTCACTGCGCGCGTGCCGCGCGCAGTGACGTGCCAATATATATATATATATATATATATATATATATATATATATATATATATATATATTTAAGACAACGTAGCCGACCAAAAGACGACGGTGGACCGGAGGCCGACCAGAAGCACGCGGCGCTGGGCCGGCATCGCACTCGCGTCCCCAGGAGGACTCTGTCATCCTGCTATTTTCGTTTTGCGTCCAGTGAATGGGCCGCAGGGGCGTTGACGGCGCCGACTCCCCGGCCGGTGACGTCTGCGTGTCCGTAACTGGTGTCACACCCCGGTGCGGACGCCGATTGCAGTATGAATCATTAATAGGCGGCGGTGGCTGTCGGCTGGCGACGGCGTCTAACGTCACGTTGAGATGATGGCGACCGCTGCCGACCCGGGAGGCACTCCCGGGGTCGAGTACCTGGCGCGCGGCCGCCGGCCCCCGGCGCCGGTCTGCGGCGATCGAGCCGCGCCTCGGGGTGACGCGCCCCGTCCGCCGGTCAGCGGGCACGCCCACAACACGACACGCCCACAACACAGCTGCCGCGGTGTGGCGGCACGCGCTCCGTCAGCCGGCTCGCCGTCCAGACGAAGAGGCTGCGCCGAACGGACCTGGCCCATTTCCGGACGCGAGGAGTGTAGCTGCCACGGCAACCGTCTCCCCTCCCCCCCCCCCCCACACACACGCAATCACACATTCACTCATTCACAGCGCTGCTCGGGTGGCACTGTCCCGGTCAGTCATGGCAGGGGCAGGACGCCGACATACACGGCGGTTTGTACATTAACGAGGAGCCTCACTGGCGGTCTGGCTGTTGCGCTTCTTCCCAATCGTTCACAAGGCCGCGATGCTGATGTTCCAGAGTCGATCGGGATTCATGGACATACGACGCGGCCGGTCCAATGACAGAGGGCCGGGAGCTAAGAAAAGGCAATCATTGAGGGCTCTTTGCTGGCATGTTGTCGCTACGTGCCTCGCGTGTTCGGCGCTGTCTGCCGTTATTCTCACAAGCGTCTCCGACCACGTGATCATTCACGGAACACGCCCGGCCCGAACCTTCCCCAGGCAGCCCGCCTCCGGCACGGATAACGGTGGGGTCGCAGCGACAGCCCCCAGTCACCAGCGGGTGGGTGTCAGCCGCTGCGGGGGGGGGGGAGGGTCCGCGCGGGACTGCCAGGGGCGAAGGGCGGCGGGAGCAAACAGGCAGCGATACGACTTGGTATCAGATTAGTTATCGGTCGGCGGCAAGGTAATGCCAACTCATCTGCCTCAATCTACCGACAGCAAGGTGATTTTTAATGACAGAAGACAGCTGCCGCACACAAAAAGGCCACTTGCAGACAAGCCACCGATGATGTTGCGGAGCCCGTAGCTGAAGATGCAAACGCCATATGTTGTTTCCGAGCCTGGACTAACTGCCATTCGCCCAATCACTGTCACAAACTAGAAGATCGGGCAACCACAATTGTCTCCTTCCATACCAATACAATCCGATGCGGCATCACAAACGACTGCATCTGACACAGCACGGCACGGCCGTCGATTATAAGTGCCTCTCGCTGTCATCGTGCGACACAGCACGCCACCATACGGACGCCCAAAGCCAAAGTCCAACAAACGCCTCCCACCACGACCGACTTCCGCCGCCACACACCAACACAACATACTACAACGGCCGACCGCCAGCGTGACAGCACAGCACAGCACAGCACTCCGGACCTCTCCCATCCACAGCCCTCGCCGCGGAGCGGTGGACACCAGCTCACCTGCGAGGCGAACCGCTGCGAGCAGCCGTTGACGATGCAGCGGAATGGCTTGCTGCCGCCGTGCGTGAGCACGTGCCTCTCCAGCCAGGCGGCCGAGCCGGGCCGGTCGAACACCTTGCAGCCCTGCCAGAGGCAGCGGCGAGAGCGGCCGGCACCAGCACGCTGATCCTGCACATGGCACGTCTGTAGGTGGTCCAGCAGCTGCGTGGGCGAACTTAGCCGGTGGCCGCAGTCGCGCCAGCGGCAGCAGCTGAGCGCGCCGCCGGCGCCAGCGGCCGGCGTCGGCGCGTGCCGCGCCGGGAAGCGCAGCACGGGCGGCGCGACGCTGGCGCCGGCGCCGGCGCCGGCCGAGCCTGGTTCGCTCGGTGTGCCTGGCTCGCTGCAGCGCTCCTTGCCGAGGCCCGAGTCGACGCTGCTCGTCTCGCTCGGCGCGCGGCAGGCGGCTGAGGTGGTGGCGGCGGCCGCCGCCGCCTCGCCGCCGCCGCCGGGCGAGTGGAAGCCGTTGCGCTTCTTGAGCGAGCGAAGCGGCGTCGGGCCGCGCTCCGGCGGCGCAGGGCGGCTATCACAGTCGGCCAGCGGCGCCGGCTCGTCGTCGAGGTCGGCGCGCAGCTGCAGCACGGCGCGCTCGTGCGTCGCGCCACTCAGCTCCTTTTTCATGGTCCGGAACGCCTGCGCTGATATGTGCTTGATCTGTTTGCTGAAGTACTCGGTGATCTTCTCCTGGACGCGCGGCCGGCCGGCGGCCGGCGGCGGAGGAGGCAGTGGGGGCCGCTCACCGGGGGAGGACCGCCGGCGGCCGCTTTGCCGGTCGTCGGTCGGCGGCGGGCGCCGGCGGCGGCGGCGGCGAGGGCGGCGCACCTGCGGCGGGCGGCGCCGCGTCGGCCGGGCCCCGGCTGCGGCCGGCGGGGCGCGCCCACTCGGCGGTCGCCGGCTGGCTGGGGGGCATGGGCGGAGGGCGCGGCTCGCCGCCGTCCGAGCCGGCCGAGCAGCTGGAGAGCGGAGAGCTCGGCTCCAGCGAGGCAACGTCGCTCACGCAGCAGCTGCCCGTCGACGCTATCCCACTGAAACAAGACGCGGAGACGGCGCGTCAGCGGCGGCTGGCTCGCACGTGGGGATGGCAGCCCAGAAGCGGTCACGCGCGCCACGCAGCACGCCACGCGCACCGCGACGATACTGGCGTCGGTGGTAAGCGAAGTAGCGATCTGGCTTCGCGCCTGCCGCGGCCAACACTGAGCGGTTGCCGCATTTGATTGTGGGCGAGGGTTAAAGTTGAACAGGGCAGCCTTTTAACTGATACCGTGGGTGTGTCACAATCTCGAGCGATTTGCGAAGGTGTCGCTGCTATTGGACGTATTAACACGCGCACGGGTGGGGAGGATCAAATTGACCCCCCGAAGGTTTTTCCTGAATGGCTTCCGAACGGCGCGACGTAGCCGCCAAATCTTGCATAGCAGTAGACAATTGAATAGCGGATCGTTTAGCATCAAAATTTTGCGTGTACCTTGTAAGGTTACCGACCTATGGCAGGTCAAAGTCAGGCCATGGTTTCAGCGAAGGCAATTTTTAGTGAATCCTTCAATCTGATCTGACAACGGAGTGTTAGACAAAGCCACACATCTTTGAAATGCTTTCTTGGCAACACAGCAGTTGAATGAGCAAATTACATTGACCTAAGGTCAGGTATAACGGTCCCACCGAGGTCAAAACCAACCTGTTTTGTTACTCTAGCGCTTGCTGCATGGGATAGTTTCTGGTGCTCATTTCGAATTTATTGACAGCAGGGACCGCGTTATACATCTTCCATGAACTTCTTACAGGTCAGAATAGGTCACTGACCTGAAATGACCCAGGTCAACATTTTGTTTTAGGAACATACTGCCTAGCGTAATCTTAGTCACTTAGTTAAATGCCAAATTCAAAGCAATCTTGCATGATTTTGGTCACCTTGACCTTCAAAAGGTCAAAAAAGATCACTGACCCTGAATGAGCATGTAACCTTTTGCATAGAAACGGGTATCTAGGTTCTGGGGGCACTTTGGAAACCAACCTGGAATTTGACCTTGTTTGACCTTTTTTGACCCGAAGACCACGATCTAGCAACCTGAAACTTTGACTTAAGTGAGTTCACGTACACGTCAACGCACCTCGTAAATTTTGCGTTTCTAGCTTTCTTAGTTCCCGAGATTTCAGGGGCGTCAAATTGACCCCTCCCCACCCGAGCGAAGGGTATCTAGCCGGCCGCCCGAGCGCGTGTTCTGGTTCGACCCTGCCTGGTTCAGACAGGGTCGAGATGACTCAGAGAAACAGCTTCCCCTTGCTTGCGTTGTATGAGCTGTTTGGAAGCGCGATTAACGCAGATGAGTGTTAACGTGGCTCTGCCCGATAGCTCCGATGTCTCGACAAGCGCGGGAGACAATACGACTCGGCTGTCAGAAGCGACCGACTGCGGACGGCATACAAGACCTTCCTTCTTGTAGTAAGTTCCTTCATTTGCAGGCAAGATCACAAGATGACGGAGGACCCGGAGCTGACTACGAAGCCGCCTTTCAGACCACCACAATGCGGTATCTGAACACGCCTACCCCCTGTTTGGGATTACACAAGAAGGGATGTGGCCTGCGAGTTTGCGGCGTGTACATGCGACCTTTGAGGATGCAGTTGGAGACGTGTCCATTTCAGAAACAACGCACTTTAGCTGCGGGCGGATCCACCGGCACCCTGCGCATGTTCGCCCCACAATCGGGCACCAGTGGCCGGGCGGGACGCAAGGTGGCCTGCGACTGTATCAGAGCCATGGGCATGATAACAGGGCATCAACATACCTGCGTCAATACCACAAACGCGATAAACCTCACCAGCCACGTCAGAAGGACGGTAATCTTGACCGCGGGGACCGTAAACTGCATCGGGCAGTCACCCCAGAAAGCCAGAGCTGCAGTTTCTCGCCACACCCATGGAGCTTGCAGTTCCCGGTTGAGCAAGAGAATAGATAGAACGATACAACGATACAACGATACAACGATAGAACGATAGAACGATAGAACGATAGAACGATAGAACGATAGAACGATAGAACGATAGAACGATAGACGATAGAACGATAGAACGATGAACGAGAGAGAGAGAGAGAGAGGAAGAGAGAGAGAGAGAGAGAGAGAGATATATATATATTATATATATAATCTATATATATATATATGTATATATATTATATATATGGACCCATGGCCAGAGCTCCAAGTCAAGCTAGGCTAGGTTAAATATTGCGCGGTGTTACACTCTTCTTGTCTAGGACCTACAAGCATTCCAGAACTATCACAATCAGGAGCACAAGATGGTCAAGAATTGGCTGTAATAGGACCGGGTTTTTTCATGCATACGTTTTTGGTTCTGTTCATGCAACACGCCCAAAAGAGCCCTGTGTTCAATTCCGTGGACTCGTGAGCTTGTCCTACTCCTGAAACGAGGCCTCAATGTAAGAAACAACAGGGAAGAAGGGGGAGAGATCGAGACCAAAACTCCCAGCCTAGTGCCACCTGATGCCACAAATCTGCCATGTCATGCTCCCATCATCTGACCAACAGCGCTCCGCGCCTTTCATCCTATCGAAAGCAGCGCTATCACACAACGTGAGCACCGTAACATTAATTCATTTGCAGGTAACGGCCGTTAATGCAGTCGTGGTAAACATGTTAGTTACGGGGTGCGGCATGTGCAGGCAGTTATTGTGTTGTAAACTCATCAGTGCTCAGTCAGGTGATTGCAGGACTATCGGAAGAGTCTGGGTCCTATACAGCGTCGTGTAATGGTGCGTATGGATATGCTACAGTTAATAGAGCTGCCAACACCGTCAGGTTTTGTGTCTTCCCGTATGCATCATAACTGCTACTTCAGTAACACAAAACAAAAGCTAGGTGTCAAAAAGAACGATGTCACTCATGTGATCACGCAGATTTCAGACGGAATGGTCAGCCAAGATGGCGCAGAAAATGGGGAACCGCAGCGGACTCAAACTTGGGCAAAAACAGCATTAGTTCCCTCGGCATTGCATCGCAACACAGGTGCAGCACAATGTGGCTCCCCTCCTCCCCCGTCTTGCAAGTCCTTCGCCACTGGCCATCCACGACACGTGGTTAATGAAGCCCCTTTTCAACATATCAGGCGCGTTGCGTGATCGCATTTATCAACAGCTTCCCCGCAAAGGTTAAGCGACTGTCAACATTTACGGCGGTGCTCTGTTGTATATCCTGCAATGGAGTTTCATTTTGATGAAATATGACATCCTGCAGTCAGACCATTATAAGGTCATCGACTCCGAGAGCATGCAAACTGAAGAAGGAGCATTCCTTCGATCAATTTTCATAAAGGTGGAGTCGTTACCCGTAGAAGCGGCCCCGCCCCAGTGCCGCTACATCTGGCAGTGCCACTCTCCCCCGACTGACAAGTCGTGCGTCCATGCCACCGATCAGCCTCGTCAACACCAGGGAGGTCAACACGCCCTCAGCTCCCGCTCACTCACCGAGACTCCCGGCCACTGTTGCCGAAACACGCAACAGCGGCACTACAGCGCCGCCACCGCCCGGAAATACTGCGTCCCACGGTCGGGAATGCTTCGCCACGGAGCGTCCGCTTCACGCACCCCTGCTAGGGCCACGTCTACAGCTGGCCACGTCCCTGACGTGCTCTGTCAGGGTGGGAAGGACAGGCGTCCTCCTCCTCCTCTTGACCGTCCTCCGCGGAGGCGGCCGGGCGGCGCGGCCGTCAGCTGGCCGGCCCGTCTGACTACGGGCAGGGCGGCGGCGGCGGGTGGTGGCGGCGGCCGGAGAGGGGAGCCGCCGCCGCCGCTCGGCCCCGGGGGCGCCGGGGAGATCCGGACCGGATCGATGGCGGGAGGGAGGGCGGCCGCGTGCCGCCGGCCGGCCCGCCGCCGCAGGTGCCGGCCGGCCACCTCCGGCGCCGGTCACCGGCCGCCCGACCGCTGGGGACGGAGAGCCGGCAGGCAGAAAGCTCCCTGCGACAGGTCAGCGGCCGGTCAAGCGCCGCCCTCCAGACGAGAGACGAGACCCCTGCGGCCGAGTGCACTGGTGATCGCTAGGCAACGATCGTCGCCCAGCGCGCTGATGCTGCGAGGGTGCCTGATCCACCGAGCAACGCGCATGCGCGCCGGAGAGCTCCCGACGGCCAGGCGGTGGACACGCGAAGGTGACAAGTGGGTCTCGGGCGGGCCAGACGCGCCAATTAGCGGGCCGCGTCGGGCCGGGCCGCCCGGGGCTTCGTGACGTCACCGGCGCGAGATGACGCGTCGCCGGGTCAGCGACCCGTTGGCGCGCAGAAAAACAAACTGGCCCGCCGTCGGCGGCCGGCGTGTTTGAGACGGCCGCGCGAGGTGGCCCGGCCCGGCCCGCGCACGCCTCCGCGCGCGCCGGCCGACTGGCGGGAAGGTTCGCTGAGCCGCCCGCCTCCCGCCGGCACCGTGCAACCGTGCACGGTGCACTGCAGAGGTCACAGTGCAGAGCCCGGCGCGCGGCAGTGCGTGAGGCGGCGGCCAACTCAAGGACACGCATTCACCTGTCTGGACCCGCCCACCGCGCGGCTCGCCGTCCATCAGAGGCGCGGCGTGCGTGCGTGGGGCGCCTTGGAGCGGAGCTGGGTCAGCG